AGGAGATGAAACACTACCGACCCCAGCTCAGAAGGAAAAATAAGAAAATGAATCATTACGGTTTATTCGGGGTGCTCAGTAAATGAGGTTTTGAACCTCTCTGGAAAGAGGCAGCACGCCAAGCCTTCTCCTTCCCAGCAGCGCTCACAGCACTTTCTGTTCAGCTCCAATGCCCAAAGCTCAGCAGACAGACCCTACAACACCTGGAAGCACAGAAGGGAAGTGCTTTGGAAAAAGCATGGTCAAGGAGACTTAAGCAGCATCACAGGGCTCCCAGGAAGAAGCCATAAAAAGACACTTTAGAAGTAACTTTGCCTCTACATACAGTTACTGCCAATCCAATCCAAACCCAGACGAGATCAAGTCCTGCACACAATGAAGCATGGCCTGCAGAAAACACTGTGTGACTGCTTTAAGCCTAGAAATACATGCAAGGAGTGCCATCGAAGCTCACTTTTGGCACTCCCTGACTTCTGAGTGTTCACACTGAGACTGAGTATTCCCCCGTTTAGATCACTGATGACAAAAAACAACATTTAACACGGGTGTTAATTTTTCCCCTAAGAAGGGTTAACTCCTACTAAGCAGCGTGCAATAAAGACAGAACATTTCACCAATAAAACTGAAGTCATTTCTACTCCACACAATAAGCTCAGGAAGCAAAATAAAAATCTATCTGCATAGCATGAGGTCAGTCAAGCTACGGATGGTTATTTAAAATCTAAATATTAAGAACAGATGCTTCTTTTTGGAGGTGTTTAAAGAACCTGGAACCTGCCGGTGCTCAGCGTTTCTCAAGGAATGCTGCAGACCTTCAAACCCACACCAGCCCACCTCAGCTGGGGCAGGAGGACTGTGCTCCGGACAAGATGAACGTTCTTTCACATTCAATCTTCAATCTTTTCTTATTTACAAGCTAATCCTAACAATGAGGTAATATATCCACAGCCCCATTGGTTTTAGCCTCATAACTCATACATATTCTATACACAATACTAATTAGTTTGTATTATAGCAAAATGTACCTAATAAACAGAAATGTGAAACTGTCGTATTTCAGGGCTCCTTTTTGATGCTGGCTATACAATAGCCATGTAAAAGAATCTTTAGGAGAAGCACATTACTGCCTGCATACCAACCAGGCTGCACCAGAAGGGATGGACTTGAACACCATCCTGGAGACGTGCACTGAGTCCCTGCTGCACAAGGTATTTCAGCTACTTCCTGTGACTGCACAAGAACACTTCTCTATGTGTACACAAAGCAGCCTCCAGGTGTGCTGGCTGCAGTGTGCCCAGCTCACCAACTCCACGTGCCAGAAAGTCACTGGGATTCCTGGGCTGGCACTGAGGGAAGGGCCAAGCTGAGCCCCTGTTCTAGCCAGCACACCACAGGTGAGGCTGCAAACTATCAAAGAGACAACGTGTGCTTGAATGTGGGGTTGGTTTTTGCAATTTGGCTGACGAGAAAGTAAATATGTTACATAACCACGTTGTAAAACATCACTCTGACAGATAGTTTACTCAAAAAAGAGCTATCTTCACTGCATATTTGCTCTGCATCCAGCAACCCCTTGACCAGTAAAAGGACATACGATGGCCTTTCCTTTGCAGCTCATCATTTATGAACGTATTTATGTTCTGATGAATTTTCAGTGGGCAGGAAGCAGAAGGATCCATCCTCAATGGCCTGCACCAAATGGGAAGAAGCATGGTAAAAATGCTGAGCGCTATGAATTTTGCAGGCTCCGTCGCTGAGAGCAGTTATGTCCTCATGTGAGTGTGCCACAGTGAAAGGCAACATCTCTATAAGGGTAAAACAAACAGCACTCAGAATTTCTGAAAGCATTCTTCCCGAATTATTGCACTAGATTAGATTGCCTCATCAGCAGGGCCAGAGGACATTTGCACTATTTTCCTGCTTTTTTTTTTTTTTTTTTTTTTTTCATGTAACAGATGAAAAGAATACAGAAAGTTTTCTGGGGCCAACATTGGAATTAACAATGGGAAAATTCTTTTGCTAATCCCCCCCCATCTCTCCCATGGCTAGCAGGCTCCCAAGGCTGGAAAAACACAATGTCTCCCCGTACCCTGCTTCTCATTGGTGCACCACGCTGTGCTCAGGACGTCGGGATGGACCCACAGCTCAGCTCAGGGCCATAAAACCTCCAGGATGGAGCTCTGGGGAAAATCTGAGTACAGAAGGACATTAGTCTCTAATTAAAACCTGGAAGCCCCTGGTGGGCCTGAGGAGGCCCAGCTCTTTCCAGAGCCCATGGCGCAGAGCAGCCACCCCATGCCTCTCTTTCACACTGTGGCACAGCCCTGTGCCACGCTTGCCAGCCCACCAGCGAGGGGAAAGCAGACAGCACCGGGCACCCGCCCCCCTCGAAGAGGCATTTCATCATTTTGCAGTCATTTAACAAACACAAAAGAATTTACACGTAGTGACTCGACTCGAGAAGTAAACTTTGCATAATGAATCCGGGCGCCTCCAATGCTGGCTGTGCTCAGAGCATCCGCAGCTGTACAGCAACACCCACTGGCACACGGGGGAAGTGCCCGACGATGGGAGGTCACAGATGGCAGCAGAACGAGGAAGGAAAAGAGCCGCTGCCTGGGAAATAAATGCACTAACCCAGCTCTCTGAACGGTTGCACTAACTGCAAGGCATCGACAGCTACTTCTGAAGCCAGCCGTGCTTTACCAGAAGCTGAGCTCCGAAGGCAGAGCAAGGCACCGAGCGCTTGCAGGAGGTGGCAATGGCCAAAGCAGGTGAGAGCTGTCAGGCTGCTGCTGGGAAACTTGACTCGAATAAAAAGAAGTACTGATGCAGCGCTTAATGAAGATGAACTTCCACTGCCTTCCCCCAGACAGACGATGCCATTATCACTCACCACTAAGAAGGAAAGAGACTGAGCAAGGGGAAATTACAGGGCAGTTACGCTTGTCAGCCTGACAGTGTAATAGCAACACGATGTTGGCAACGCGCCGCAGAGAAGCCTGCAGACAATTAAGCACAGGGCATAAAATAAGGTGGGTAGAGGGAAAGTAGCCCACTGGAAAGTACTGCGAGGGATTTCAGCTTTTCCAGCATGAAGCACACCACCATATCCCCTGCATCCACACAGAAGGGAAAAATAAGATGAATAATAACTGTGTGAAGTCAGAGAAAACCTGGAAGTCCAACTTGCTCGCTAGCAGAGAAGTCAAAGCTCAGCAATGCGGTGCCTCCCTCTGCACAAGTGGGACCGCTGCCTTCTCCTGTGCTGCTGACATACGGACAGTGCCTGTGAGGCCAGCAGGTCTCATCCTTTTCATCTCAGGGCAGTGAGAAGCACAGGCAGCTCTGCTGTGCCCCCAGCAGCCTTCAGCCACAGCAATCCTCACTTGGGAAAGCTCCTCTTTTGAGAAAAAGTTGCCTGTCGCTCACAAAGAGCTCCTAGGGAAACATTACGAGTTTTGCTCCAGGCTTTGTAAATATCTGCAAGAGAAGAACGTCAAACAAAACTGGCATTATTTGCACTATTTGTAAGAAGGAGGGCCAAACACATTCCCAGTTTCAGAGATGTTTCAAGGCTTTGTTGCTACAAAAAGCTCAGTATGGTCACGCAGTGCTGCAACAGCACAACACACAAAACCTGCAGTCCCAGAAACATAAGGATTTGGGGAACCTCTGGCCCCCAAGAGAGGGAAATGGAACACAGATTCTATATTTTCCTGATGAGAAACCAGGGTTTCACAGAGAATTAGTAAACACACTCATGAGTCCCACCTGTTTTCTATTTAGAGGAAAAAAAGCAATTAATGTGACTTTTTAAACAACTGTTAATAGAAGAAACTCATGAAACCGAGATTTCTAATGGAAAGTGTCTTTACTCAGATGATGCAGAGGATCACAACACGACAGCAGCACCTCGCACAGTTTCTCCCAGCTGTGCAAACCATTTTCTAACGACCTGAAGATGAACAAAGACACATTCTAGTCGTTCCTCATCCCTCCAGAGCACGGATGCACGGCAAGCATGAGAAGGACATCCCATCTCCCACCAGTCAGAACAGAGCTCCCAAGCAGCATTTACGCTGTGCAGTTCCTAGAAAGGAACCCCTCACTCTGAGCAGCATGCAGAGGCATAAAGGGAAAAATACCAGCCCAGGAAGAAGATGATTTCAGCATATCATTTATTAGCAAGTAAAAGGACGTTTACCTTCTCAGTGGTTAAGTACAACACAACCCAAAGATAAACCATATGGCTCAAGTCTTTGTGCAAGGGAGACAACTGGCAGGGCTCCAAGGCTCTAATTGAACTATTACCATATTGTAAGAAAGGAAGAAGTCAGAAAGACTGGAGGATCTGCTCTCCTAGGGACAGCTGATGTCAGGCAGGCAATTCAGGCCATAACAAAGCATATTTATCAGGAGAGCAATTCCACCATTTGGATACTGGCTCAGTTTAAAGAAAAAAAAGTGCTCTTCTATTTCAATATTGCACTTAATTTGATCCTACATTCAACTCATGAAACCTTCAAAATCCCAATCGTTTGTAGCAAACAATACGCTTCCAGTTTAATTGCTGGCTCAAGGTTTTCCATTTAGTTAATAACTAAAGAAGCAAAGGAGGAATGTTCAAATGAAATCCAGCAACAAATAAAAGATTACCATTAAAAAAAGGGTCATTAGAACAGAACCGCTGAAAAGTGCAGAAGATCCAAGTACAAAATGGTTTTGTACTACATACAATTTCCCATCTTTTCTTTCAAAGGCAGCCTTCATAAAAACATCCCAAGTGTTACACATTTCACACACACCCGGGTTATGCAGTAAGACAAAACACAACAGTGAGCTCGTGAGCAGACAGAATCTGTCAGAGCCGCTGTACAAACCTTTGCAGTGCTGGCTTGTTGACTGTGGGGCAAAGGGAACATACGAAGACTAAAGGAAATCAGACACAATCTTACACAAAAATGAGTGAGATGGGCCCCTGTGGATCTTGCTCTTACCGTTCTGCTCGTCCAGCTCATTCCCAATTTCCTGTCCCATTTGCTTTTGCCGGGATATGATTGAAGAAAGAGCATCAAGGCCGGCGTCTTGCTCTGCACCAAAAAATACATCAAGTTACATGAGGCAAATTGCCAGTGTGCCACATTGTGTGCAGTAAGAGATGCAGAAGCAAAGAGAAAGATCTAGTCTGTGCCTGAAGAGTTAAAACAAACTCAGAAAAGGACATCAACACAACAGGAAAATGAATCCTTATGGCAACAGTACTCCTAAAACAATGTGAATGATGGGTAATTAATTTGTCTGCTCTGGCTGGGACACAAGCTGATGGTCCCAAAAAAACCCAAGAATTCAACCTCCAGCTGTTCCTCAATCGTAAATGCAGGAGATTCCTGGCGCACACACAGATCCCTGATTAGCCTTTTTACATTTTCCAAGAAACTTTGAACATGAATACAAGGCAAACAGGTGATGCAAGCACCAAAGAATTCAAATAGATTTTTAAAGCTGCAAGAGGACACGGAGCGCATGGAAGGCAGCCTGCAAGGAGGGGACACCAGCTCTGCAGGCACTCCTCTAGAAAGGCACATGCTGTCTCTGCTACATGCAGGCCCTGCACACCCTCAGCAAGCACCAAACACACACAGCTCTTCTACTTTGTGACACACTCAGCTTCAATAAAACGTGGGCAAAAGGCAATCCCTGAATTACTTGCACCTGACCGTGAGGAAGCCCCGCAAGGTTACCTGGTCACAAATAAGGTATGCTAACTTTCAGCAGTTTCTCCTCCCCTGCCACGGGAAAAATTACTTGTTTCAATCAGCGTGGAGATTATTTGGAAAAGCTGCTTTGAGAAGATGTTCCCAGCAAGGAATACTGCAAGCACAACACTGCTCCTGCTCAGACAGAAGTCACCGCCAGCTACTTGGACTGACAGCCCCAGCTAACAGGGCTTCAGCACAGGCTATTGCACTGACTTTCTCATGAGGACTCATGCCTATAGCACACTGACAGACTCTTCTACCTTCTATGATCCTCCGCTGCTGCTGCCTGATGTCATCGAAGCCAAGCCCCCTGGTTTCCTCAGACTCCTCCAGGAGCCACGGGTTGGTCACTCCTCGTTTGACACCTCCTGCCATTAGGCTAGATCTGAAAATAAGTTCAGGAAACAAGTTTCAAGTTTTAGACATCAAATTCACTCTAATTTGTGCATGCAAGGTTGGCTGGCAGAGATGGACCTGTCTTTATTTGTCACGTTCCACACAGTTCTCTGCAAATGTTGAAGAAATGAGCCAGAAAGAATCCAGTTTTCCCCAGTAACATTTTGCAAGGTCCATCCCACTGCCTAAAAGCAGAGAAGTGGGGAGAAGATTACCTCACATTGAACAATTAAGCTACCCATGAAACAAACACCATACTTTTGATGCTATATTCAGCATTCAGACCTGTTACAAAGAAAAAGAAAGGTTTGTGTAAATACATACACATGGCATTGCTCTGTGATCGAGACACAGAACACACAGCCCCACTCCTGCATGCCTTGTTTGTGGAAGCAGCCACACACACATTTTGCAAGGAAGAGCCATCAAGTTACAGGTTTCCTTTGACAGGAATTATGACCTGAGGCTGCTCACACAGCAGACACTGCACAGTTTTCAACAGGCAGCAAGTTTGCAATGTCCAGGGAACATAAATTCCAGTTATAAAGTGAAATGCCACTGCAGTATCTTATCTCAATACCAGATTTCTGGTTTCCTCCTTTCAGCTCTTCATTGGTTTCTGGTATAGGTATGACGTGACAGCCTGCAGGACATTCAGGCCCCAAGCTGCAAATCTGCCCTGGGGTCGGAGACACTGAGGAGATGGGTCTTCAACTGCAGCTCGGCTGCAGGAGTTTCTCATTTCCACTTGCCTTCTTCAGCTCTATCTTTTGTCCCCGTTTTATCTTTGCCCTCTTTTTCCCCAAACAACTTTCACAAATAAAATGAGAACCAGGAGCATTTTTGGTACCTCTCAAAAACTCCCTACAATGTTTTATTAAGCCAAGACCTATTTTTTAATTGACTCCAGGTCCCTCCACTCCAACATAACCTGAAATGCTCTTCAGCACTAACATAAGCCCAATATTTCGGGTAATGATGCAATTGAATCAATGCAAGCAGTTCTACAACAGGACAACCGAGGATTTAGAGCAAAGGTACTGAAGCAAAGGGCTGAACTTGAGATTGGTGAGGAGCTGCGGTGTGCTGGAGACATCTCCTGGCCATGCAATGAACCAGCAGTGCTGGGAAGGATTCCTTTCCACCACGTGAACTTTGGGCTGCCCTGAATCAGACACATCTTGCACAGAGCACTGCACGTTCTATGAAGCAGATGGGGCAGTTCTACAGTTCAGCTCTTTGCACCTCCATGAAAATCTCCATGTATTCATCAAGCTGGTGGATCTACTTTAATTAAATAAAGCCCTGCAATGCTGTTTTACACATTAACAAGACTTCTTCATTGCTTGGGAGGTTGAGATCCCCTCTTGTATTCCCCAGGCTCACACCAAGCTCACAGCGTACAAGGAGCACGATGCACCTGAAGACAAAGATCATTACAGCAGCTCAATTAGCAAGCACTCAAAACCCAGTGCTTAACAACACCTGACCAAACTACTCGTATAAAGCAAAAGGAACATAAAGCTCCTTTCTTGCCAGGAAGAACACCACTATTTCTGCCTGCTAAAAAAGCCAAGGCAAGCAAATGTAACATAATTTGCACTGTTCCCCCTCTCCCCTGATAATCTGCCCTATTCTTGTAGGCTGGGTCATGACAACAGGTCCCCTCGTTACAATAATCTTTTTGACATGTTTGGTAACTGCCTTCCCACACAGCACAGCCCGACTTCCTCCTTCCTCTGATCTTACCACGTTTCGCTTTGGCGGTGTGAAGATTAAAGCTTATCCAATTAGCCACCCACGGCCTCCGCCAAGTTAATCACGTAAATCTTTCAAACCATCACAGAGCAGTGGAGTGTGTGGATAGCTTTTGATTATGGGAGCAGATTTAACTAATTACGAGGCTTAGCGATGTGCCCAAGTATAAAAGATGATGGGGTTTAAAATCGGGGAGCTATGTCCTTGCCTAACAAGGGAGGGCTTATCTTTCTGAAGGCATTGTTTCCCTGGTAATTCTCATAAAACTTCCCCAGTAACTTAGATTAGTCACCCAACGCTTACTTGAGACCAAGGCCACACATCGAGGCTTACGGCTTTAGGAGAGCGATCAGCAAGACTGCGTTTGGAACAAAACCTGGGTCATATGACAATTAGTTGCATGAGCACTCGAACGTCCCCTTAACGATACGGTTATACAGTAGGTCCTTTGAAGTGCTCACAGCACCTCAGCTTAGCTCCACAGGTCAACCTCTGTGGCGATGGCCAAAACCAGGGCATTCTCTCACTTACGGTTTAATTGCTCACAGAGGTGGGCGGTGGATTTGGGGAAGCTCTGTGCTAGTAAATGAAACAAGAATTGTTTTAACATATAAAAGCTGTCTCTTGCCCCAGAATGGGAGAAATATGAGAGATGTAACATTTGAGTATCCACAGCCCACCTGTACTCCTCAGGAATGAGAGAATTATCACTGTAATTGGTCAGGACTCAGCTCATGCCAAAATCCCACAGTAACGATGCTGGCATAGAACAACCTTGGGCAGGAAACTTCAGGTTGTCTGAGCAAACCTACGAGGCTAAACATAAAGCATGCAGCTCAGCTTCAGTCACTGACCTCCTTTTGACACTCTTCTCTCCAGGTTAACAAACATTAAGCACTAATAAGAGGCATGCAGGCACAACCCGAGGCATGTGCCTAAAGCTGTGGGCTTTGACTTACTTTACTGCTGTTTGCTGTTCCTAACAGATCCAAATGCATACACCTTCCCCAGAACCACGGCCCTGACCTCAGTGAGCTCGTTAGAAAATGCTCTCCGAGAAGGAAGATGTGACCTGCCCTTGAGCACAGAGCCCTACAGTTGGTGCTAGGACACAAGCATGGGGCTCTCGGTAGACAACTTCCTTTTTCCATCTCTTCGAGAAGCCTGATTCATAGATCTCTGCACACTAAGACTCGTCACATCTGAAGGCAGAAGACCACAGCTGCAGCAAACAATAATTCCAACAGCAGGAAGGAGTTCTAAAGGCATCTGAACAACATATTTTTAATCCTAATTTCCCAAAGGGCATTTACTCCTCCATAAACAATAGCAAGATTCACAAAAACAATTAAATACCTGATGGCTCACTGACTAAAGTCAGGCAGGCTTCTGATGCCTACTTGCCATTAGGTAAAAGTCTGTGGGCGGAACCGGGCCGAGGCGGCCTACGTGACGCCCTGCCGGCACCAGCTCTGCTTGGGCTGTGCGCTGCGCTGGGCGAAGCAGCATCGCACCTGTGCCGTGTGCAAGGAGAACATCGAGGCCGTCCGGTACGCGGTGCAGGCGGAGGAGGATTTCCTCGCGTGCCCCATCCCGCAGCCTGCAGGGCGCTCCGAGGACGAGCACGAGGAGGAGCAGGGCTCTGCAGAGCCGCAGCTCGAGGCTCCCGAGCACAGCTTCCCAGACGAGACCTGGGCGGACTTCTTCCGAGGAGATCCGGGGGACCTCGAACCGCTGCTCCGGTGGATCCAGCAGGAGCTCGAGGACATCATCGGAGATGAGTGGTGGACAGTGGCTGCGGCGCGGGCTGATATCATGCACCTGCTGTGCCTGTTCGGGCTCAGCGAGGACACCCTGAGCCTGAACTTGGAGTCGTACCTGGAACACCACGCAGGTCGTGTGTTCGTGGCGGGGCTCATCGACACCGTTACGGCCCTGTATGGCCCAGAGCTCCGCCGGCAGCAGGACAACCAGGCTGCCCATGAAACAGGAGGGCAGGACGGCCCCGCGGCCACCCCCAGCCCCGCCACCTCCCCGCAGGAGCCTCCTGCCCCCGGCCCGAGCCGCTCCACCAGCCCTGCAAGCCCCGGCGCCGAGCGGCTCCCTGGCGTCCCTCACGGGGGGCCCGAGCCCCGACCCGCCGCCCCCGTGTCCCCGCAGGAGCCGCAGGAGCAGCCGGGGCAGGCGGCGGCAGCGGCCCCCTCCGCCCAGGGCACGGACCACCAGCCTGGGGGGCCCCGACGCCCCCCGAGGAGGAGGGCCAGCAGCTGCCCCCCGGATTTGCCCCCGTCCCCCAAGAGGCGGCGCTAGGCCGGCACCCACTGCGGTGCTGAGCACGGCTCGCGGCTTGGGAGGCCATCAGTGATCTTGGTATAATTTTAGAGACAATTAAACAACAAAAAATTATTCTTATTCCTGTTCTCAGTACCATACATTTGTCAGAAAGGGATTTTAATAAAAAAAGTACTAACACACATTACGAAAAAGAACCCAGGCCCTTCTGAACGTTCCCTACGTGGCAATCACACATGGTGCTTCATGTCTCACAGCTATCTCAAGTTTTCTGGATAACTCAGCACAAAGTGCACACAGTGCATTGATGCAGGGTGAGCTGCACCCACTCCTACACGCTGACTACTGGGGGAGACAGGAGGAACAATACAGCAGTTTCTGCTTCATTTAAGTCTTCCTTTTAACATCCTGCACAGATGTCTTTCCTAGGCAAACGGAGGGGAGAAGATACTGGAATTGCCAATTATAGAACATTTAAGTAACCCTAAACAGGCGGAGTCACGTAAACAGCATAATCTTTCCCCTGGAAAATTCCAGTTGCATCTTAATTAAGGCCGACAACGCCGGAAGGTAAACTAATGTTATACCAAAGTAATGTAGTGTCCTGCCCTGTGTTCCAGCCCAAGTTGTCAGTTAGGATAAATACCAAGAGCATTAAGGCCACTGTACTTCACAATCAGAAATAGCTTTGCAGCAGTTTTCAAAGGATGTAAAACTCAGTGAATGGTGACCAAATATAAACGAAGATTAATTCTAGCGAAACCTTCACAATTACAGGCCGTGGGGACAATAAATATGTGATCAGTGGTGCAAGAAGGTTAATGAAAGGAATGACTGCTGGAAAGGAAAAGACTTCTGAAAATGTGTGCTGTCACATCAGAGGTGGATTAGATACAGAAAACCAATACAAAAGCAGAGAAAAGTGTCACTGCTAGAAATTAATCAAACAACGTGCGCTGATTTTTCTAATGTGGCGGGTAAAGCTGACTTTGAGACTCCAGACACACTGAAGAGTGGCCTTTCCAACCTACTAAACCCACAGCAGGTTGCTCCACAAGTCTAACAGCTTCAGAGCAACTCAGTGCTATAAACAGCAGCTTAACCCCACCAGGCAGCGCTGTCTTCTGGCCCCAGGAACAGCAGTTTGGTGAGGGAGGCACCCACCTCCTCTGCACACCCTGCATGCAGCCAGTTCCAAGTAAGGAAGGTCGAAGCAGGCACTGGCTGCACCTCTGTGCCTTGGAGAGCAAGAGCTGCAAGGGAGAGCATGGAAGGGGTGTGAGTTCACCAGCCAGCGAGGAGTTGGCAGGGTTTTGTCCCTTTTTCATTAAAGAGAACTATTAAACTTTAAGCCTTGCAACACAAGAAAACAAGCACTGTCTCTGATGTTATCTTCTGCTGGAAATTACTGGTTTCTCTGATCATTCCTAATGGAGCATGAAATTATCATGGGATTTTGATACTTTCTTCCTGTCAGCCTCAGTACCCCATGCGAGGGCAGCTGTAGGTCCAGCCTTGGCCCTCTGCCACAGCACGGATGGGCTCCTCTCACTCCAGGCCAGTTTTCAGGCAGCCACACTCACTCACATACCGGTCAGAGCAGGCCCCGGCTTCCTGGCATCACCAGGCCCTACAAAGCAGTGCCTAGCTGCTATTTTAAGGCTCCAGTTGACTCAGCATTGGACATTAAAGCTATCACTGACGTACCAGGCAGCTTGGCACCACACTGCAGGGGAAGTCAAGGCCACAAAACCAGGAGCGGATGAGACTGAAGCCTACAGTTTCACCCCTGTAGCAGGTGTCAGCCACGCAAAGCTGACAAACTGTAACATCTCAGCTGGGCAGAACACAGTGTGGAAGGCAGCCCCTGCACCCCATTACTGACTGTGCATGTACACATTCTTCTACAGCAACACGCAAGAGAAACAAAATAACAGATCAGGGAAATTGAGCAATTCCTACGCCTGCTCCGGAGTGCAAACAGCTAGAGAAACGTCTTCCTTGCAGTTTAAGTCACGCATAGTGCTCACCTTGGCAGCCCAATTTTCACCCTAGAACAGCATCATAGCATCTCTGCTTTTTTCAGAAGGACAGGGCTAAAAAGCAACAAAGGCTCTGGGCCCAAACAGCTGTGTTTCAGGAGCAGCTCCCTAAGAAGTACGTGTTGTAAAAAGTAATGCTCAGAAACGGCGCTGCCATTTACAGGCTATGCTCAACTAGTTTAATTGATGATGGGAATACAGCAAGTGCTGCAAACGCAGACTGCAGCTCTGCTTCTGTCCTGCACTGCCCTGAAGGACAGGACATGACCTGAATTCACAAAGGAAAACTTAGGGAGGTAAGTGCAGCTCTCTGAGCTGAAATCTAGCCAAAACAGCAGCACACAAGGCATCACACATGGTGTCAGCACAATGGCAAGCCAGGCTTTTTTTGTTTTAATAGAGGCATTTAATTTTTTTTTCATGAATGCCAGCTTGAGGCTAATAGTGATCAAAGCACATGAGGCAGCGAGTCAGAAGGATGCTTCTGAAGTTGTCCCTGACACACACCACAGTTCTGATGTACCAGAGCCCTAACATTGCGTCAAGATAGCAGGTCTGGCACCCAGCAGCCTGCAAAGGAAGAAGGAAATGACAACTGCATTTGGTTGCCCTTAGCCCAGCCACCAGCTAAGGAACCAGGATTATTAATTGCCACCACTTTTCTCCTCCTCTTCCACCAGCAGGTAATTCAGCTGGCAAATTAAACACATTTCAGAGAAAAAAAGGAGCCTCAGAGAAAAATCAGTTTGTGCCGATGGGGAGGCAGAGAACAGCTGAGGTGAACAAAGACCAGCTGCAGGCTGAACCCAGGATACACCTCTTGACCAGTGGGATGGCACTGAAAACATAGGACAGAAAGAGGAACAGGAGGAGGGAGGCCAGGTGATGCTAATTGAAGCGTGACAGGATATGGAACTGTAACAACCCCACAGGCATCCCCCTGCTATGCTGCTCAGCAAGCATTTCTTGGTATTTCAGTGAGGTGCATAAGCTCTTAAGACGTACAGTAGCTGCAAGCAGCTTCTTATACACAGGCTGCAGCTCCCAGGGACTCAGCAGTAAAGCTGTGGGCAGCAAATACCCTGCAGCCTGCCTTAAAAGATGCCTTATGGACAGCTCTAAGGACATATCAAGTCTGTGCCTAAAATGGCATGTTGTAGCACACACAGCACTGCAAGGCTCCCACCTATGCTGACGTGTTGGATGCCAGCAGTTACCTTGGGCAAGAGGCCCAGATCTCACTCTTCAAGGGAAAGCTCTCCCTTTCTTCCTGATCAGACAGAGATGGCCAGGGATGGATTATTTCTAGGAACACATTAAGGACGACAACTATCAGCCACGATGGAGCTCACACGAGGTATGAAAATAACTCAGACTGCCCTTCCCACTCAAAGACAAGCTCTTTGATATTCAGAAGTTTAAGCCCCATCCTGACAGCTTTCCTTCCAACAATTCACCATAGCCCACAGGCTGTGGCACCCATCAGGCCAGCTCTGTGACTGGCTCTGCCAAATCACGGGCAGCTATCATCTCCAAGCAACTCTCCACTCCCTTGTTCCCCCAGCTCTGGAAAACATTAATGACATTCTCATCAAAATCAAGTACATGATTTCCAAGCAAATCAAAGCACACTTAGATACAGGTAAATTAATTCCATGGATGCATTTAACATCAACTTCAGACAACCCCAAAGCACAAGCCACACCGCTCATGAAGACAGCAGCATCATACCTGATCACATCTGGTTCTGCGCCCTCGTTCTTGTAAGATGCCTGAAGTTGTTTCTGTCGTGTGAGAAGGTCATCCACCAAGTTCTGCCTCCTGTCTCCCTCCAGCTGGGTGCTAATCGACTCAGTTAAGGAGCACATTTCAAAGCATGGAAAATCTTAAAAGTTGAGTATAAAATCAAACCTGCTATACATTTTTAAAATAAATCCTGATCAAGAAAATAACAAGAGCAACTGGAGCTGTAAGAAAAGGCTGTAGCACCTAACAGAAGGATGGGCCACATCCCTCGATGACACCTACTTTCCTTCAGAACACTTCTCCAACGATCACACATTTCCAAGACTAAGATTCATGCAGTGACTGCAGTGACCTCCTGCTCATCCTCTGAATGCAATCAGCAAAACCGAGAGGCTCTTTACTGCCAAGTTAGCATAGGCATTACAAATTTGACCTGCACCATAATTCTCCTGTCAGTTACTACTCAGAAGTGCTCTGCAGCAGATGGGCTCTGTAACACCGGCAGCTCAGGGAAAGGTTTGCCCTATCCTGTTGTGATTGAACCTGGGCAGGCTCCAAAAGAGCAGAGCTCTGAGGTTCAGCAGGGTGCAGCACATCTCATCTGCCAGGAGCTGAGCCTCATACACCACTCAGCTGAGCAGCTCCCCACTAAGTCATCAGCAAAACACCAACAGTTTCCTTCAAGCAGTTGTTTCCATTTGCAGTTCATCAATGGGACACCCTGAGAGCCACGGGACGGAAAGAAAACAATTTGTTCAGTAAGTCTGAAACAGAAGATGCCCAAAGCTCTGCAGTTCTGACAGGTGACACACTTGTTTTAATTCATCTCAGAGACATTCCAAAGGAATGCTACCTGTCTTCCAAGCACTGCTGCACAGATGGTGCAACAGCCATGCTGGTTTCTGTATGTTATCTGCCACAGCAGCAGCATTCATTCGCCCTGAAGCACTCCCTTGACATGAAAGTTTTACCCAGGGCCACAGCTCAGCATTCAGAGGCCTCACGCTGTGAAAGGATTTCTTCTACACTAAGCTTGAAATTAAACATCCATCCATTCAACCACCAGACACACCTCTGGGGGCATGGACGTGCTTCCAAATCCCTACACCTCACCATGCAACAAGAAGAGCAAATCCAAGCCAGGCCATGGGGCAACGCTCCTATAAAAGAAGCCTGGGATTCATAAGATATATTTCAAGGCATATCAACAATGTTTTGCAGATGCTTTGCTCCTTGTGCACACTGGGGCTGGCACTTCCCTGCCCACAGCCCAAACATGGCTTCACCCCTCCAGGACTAAAGTCAGCCAACAACACAGCCAAGAGAAAATAACAGCAGAGGGGGTTTTCTGCTAGGCGGGTGAACATGGCTCATGAGAGAGCTGTGCCATCAGCAGCTGCATGTGATGATTCAGAGCAACTGAGCCAGCCCTGTGCCCACTGCACCAGAGGTGCCCAGGCTCTCAATCCTTTCCACAATACAGCTGCAATAAAAATATTACCCACCATTAACTGACAAAATTCTAGCGAAAAAAAAACCTTCCCAAAATTGAACAAGAAAAAAAGAGCCTCCTTGCAATTACAGCACGTTTTCAGACCCTCTCCTACACCAGGGCAAAAGCAATGAGATGCTGTTGTGCAGATACATCTGGTGCGTTGACACAGCCCGGAGCAGGGAGTCCTTCAGCTGATCAATCTTCTCTTTGAGATTCTGCAGTGACGACCTGATGATCACATTGAGCTGCAGGAAAAGAAAGAGATTCTTTGTCTGAACTGTATTTGCATCACAGCATTAAATGCTATTGCATGCAGGTAACAATGCATTTACTTTCAGCTGTACGGGTGGGAAGGATCCTATACTGAACCAGCCCACCCCAAAGCCCCAAAGAGAACACCACAGTTAATCATTTTACATGCTTACAACACGAGATAAGTACAACTAGTTTCACAAACACTGTTCTAATGCATTGATGCTGTTTAATATGGAGAGCTCTCTTTCAAGTCTTTCTAAACAGATTCCTTTATATGGGCAAAGTATTTCAGCACATTTTAATATTTTCCAGCTCATTTTCCAGTCCTTTCCTCTGATCTCCAACACAAATAAAGGCGCCAGCTCCCGCTGCCACTGGGTTTCTTTCCCAGCTCCCACGAGGGAGGGAAGCTGACTACAGGTTCAGACATTCCCTCCGCTGAGTTCTTCCAGACTTTGAGGATCCCACAGGCATTCAGCTTCCCCCAGTGCCACCTCTCAGCACCATCTGTGACACCTGCCCATCTCCCTGCCCATGGCTCGGGTGCATCTGTTCCTACTAGAAATGCCGTTAAGCTGTTTGCATTTTTCCCTGCTCTGAGCAAGCTGAGATTTCTGGGAACCCTCCTCCTTTTTCCTCCACTCCATCCCAAATTAAACCAGCATTGTCTTAGGCAATGCCTACAGAGAAAGGCATCAGCACAGCAACCGAGCAGCTCGAGCAAAAGCCCCAGACTCCATCAGAGCACTCAGTGGCTCAGGCTGGCTGGGATCTGCTCTCCACCACCTCCAAACAGAGACAAAATGCACAGCCACACTGGTGCAGTTTGAGAGCGCACAACCAGACAGCTACAAAACCCACACTCAAACATAGCCAAGCACTAATGCAGCATTCCCAAAGCCACAATGGGGCATGAGAGATTTCAGGAAATTCAGTGTGCAGCATACCCTTTAGCTCTGCAGTATGGTAATGAAACATCTTTCCATTTCACATCTTCATTTCCTGCACTCATATGCAGTCTGAGAATGCTGCACTTAATGAGCACAACAAAGGAACAAAGGTATATGCGTCCAAGAATGCCATCCAGCACACAGATTGCTGCTACTCTGGCCAGAAATTGTGCTACAAACAGAATCACAGAATGGCCAGGGTTGGAAGGGACCTCAAGGATCACGAAGCTCCAACCCCCCTGCTACACGCAGGGCCACCAACCTCCACATTTCACAGCAGCCCAGGCTGCCCAGGGCCCCATCCAACCTGCCAGTGAACACCTCCAGGGATGGACGGGGCATCACAGCCTCTCTGGGCAGACTGGTTCCACCTCCATTAAGAGAAGAAAAAAAAAAAAAGACAAAAAAAAAAAAGAAAGAAAGAAAGGAAGTTTTAAGATCAGCTCAATTGAGCAGAGGTCACAGATCGTAAGAGCTGCCTTGGAATCATTCCATGCAGGTTTCTCTTCCCCTTTTCAAATCTTATGCTTGAAGTTTACTTAGCAATTATCAATGGGGCTTTTTTTAGCCATGCTAATGGCAAAACAGGATGAAAATAAGAGCTTGGTCACGTTCTCCCTGCCAGGCAAATGCTGCACACACTTTCACACTGTAGAAGCACTCAGCTGTCATGGAATGCAGCACTGCTCAGCCGTGAATTTCTCAACATGCATTTCTGTTATGAAAACAACTCTTCATTGTGGGACACTTGTTTGCAGTTGAACCAAACACGGCCAAATATTCACCTTTAACTGCTAATGGATTAAGTGAAACTGCAATCAGAAAACACCGGGCATGGAAGGAATGATGTTGTGAAGAAATAAGCATAATGTTTCCACAACACAGAACCCGGAGGAGCTGCACTACCAGAAAGGCTTCAAGCAGCACCAATACAACTCGTGTGTGCTTTTTTTTGTTGTTGTTTTCCTGGAACATCGCAGACCCCAATGACTCAAACCAAAGAACTTTGTCCTCTATAAACACAGCACAATTAAGCAGCACTCTTACTGCCAGCCTCCTACTGCTCCAACACAGCAGTTTAAACACAGAAACGCCTTCCTTTTGAAAGCAGAGTTCAATCGCCACCGTCAGGCGCTGCAGCTGGAGAAAACACCCCGATCACTCCCAAAGCCTCTTCAATTCGTGCCAAATTCGAGTCCCTCGTCAGAAGCACCGATCGTTGCGCAAAGCCCACACAGCGTTCCTCAAAGCAACGCTTCAATGCTTCAAAGAAAGCATTTCCAAAACGCGACTCTGTGACTACAGCTGGCAGCACGGAGGCCATCTCGCGCCCTATTAGAGCTGCGCCGTAAAGAAGGGCCCCCAGGCCGAGCGGGGCCCCGCGCCGTACCTTGACCGAGCTCTCCCCGTTGCGCCGATGCCGGCTGCGCTCCTGGATCCGCTCGGCCACCTCCTGGGCCAGCTGGCAGGCGGCGTCGTACTGCGAGAGCCTGAGGGACGGGACGGGGAACGGCGTCAGCGCGGCGGGGCCCGGAACCGCCACCGGACGGAACGCGGAGCCTCGGCCCAAAATCCCGAGGCCGCTCCCAGCCCCCCACAGCCCAGCCCAGCCCCCGCCCCGGCCGGCCCTCACCAGGGGTCCGGAGCCATCACAGCCAACCGGAAGTGCAGCTACCTCCCGGAAGTGCCTCTACCGCCCGGAAGTGTCCGCGTCCCCTCTGTGTCACGTGATAACGGCGGCTGCCGAGGCTCAATCCCCGCCGTCGCGAGCGTCCCGTGCGAGGGGGCGGGGAAGTAAAAGTGCGTGCAGGCGTACAGCGCTCCGCTGCCGAAGTGCGCGACGAAGCGGTGAGCGCTTTGTGGTGTAAGATGCGCAGTGCACAGATACAGTGGCGCACTTCACTTGGGGCGCAGTGCAGAAGTGCAAAGGTACATAAGTGCACGGTGTGCGGTGCGGAGCTGCACAGCGGCCGGGTGCGATGTGGGGTACGGATGTGCGGGGCGCGCGGCACACAGCACAGAACTGCAGAGCTGCAGGTTACAGAGCTGCGTGCTGCGTTGTGCAGTGGGGTGTGTTGTAAATGCACAACGATCCATGAGGACAGAGATGCACAATATAGGGCACAGAGGTCCACAGCTGAAAGGGTGTAAGGGTGAGCAGGTGCACAGCTTAGAGGTGATGAGTGTGTGGCACACGGTGCAGTGTGCACAAAGCAAGGCTGTGGATGTACACAGGGACGTGGTGCAGAAGTGCACAGCACGGTGCACAGCACAGGCCTTTTGCAGCCCTGGCAGTAATGGGGCTGAATGCCATGTGCACAGCAGTGGTACCAACCCCCATCCCCTGTCCTTGGCTGGCTCTTCCAGGGGCGACATCCCCGTGGCATGGGATCCCTGTGGCTGGATGTTGGCAGCACGTGGGCATTGCTATTGCAGTGGTGTTACTATGGCTTTGGAACTAAAGGCACCGCAGCCCCAGGGTGCCCAATGCCAGGCATGGGGACAGCAGCGAGGAACAGCCAGGGCAGAGGAAGGGTGAGGATATCCCTGTGTGTCCAGGCTGTGAGACCCCAGGCCTTGGGGCACAGCAATGCGGAGGAGTGCGCAGTGACATAGGCCTGGGGGCGAGGCCATGTGCTTCTTCCCTATCTTCCAGTGGACAGAGATTTGCTGTCATTGAATTTTGCTCCAAAGAAATGTCCCCAGGAGCAGGCAGGGCGTGATGCTGGGAAGCCGTGATGCTGCCTTGTTGACACTGTCAATATTTGGGCTGCGGATGGCTCCTGAGGGCCCTGCAGTAAAACCAATGGCTCCAGAACTTACAGCAACCCTCTTCCAATGCACATGGGCACTGGGGCTCAGTGTCCCATTTGCCACCATCTTATGATGCATATCACTGCCGATAGGAGCAGGTGCCCTAAAAGTAGTGAAAGCATGATAGTGATGTTTTATTGGCCTCGTTATATGGGATTATTGCTGCATTTAGCCCAGTATGACACAACTTCCATCACAACCATGGACCCAGCAGGTCCTGCTATGGGTACCCTGACCCCCCCCCCATCCCAACCTGACACCCAGCACCAGGCTGACAGAGTCTGGGTGCAGGCAGCTGCATCAAACATTGATGCCCCAGCTGTGCAGCTCAGCCGGAGGCAGCACAGCACACTCACTACATATTTAATTTGTTTCTCCATTAAAAACTCGTGGAGCAGCAAAGCCATGTCGTGTGGTGCCCAACTCGCTCCCATCTCACATCCTGAGATTTCTGAAGGAAGAAGATTCTGTGCTTAAAAGAATCCTGCTGTTAAGTGTTGCCTGAACGATGGATCCTCCTCGCCGTGTGCTCCTTTCAGCTGCAACGGGGCTCCTCCTCAAATTCAGCTCTTATGCCCATGCCTGCAACACAGTTTGTAATCCTGCAAAGCACTTTGAGGCAGAATCAGTCAGCAGCAACAGTTTCAAAATGGGAGAGGATGGAAATGCTGAAGTATAGAAACACGCCTGGAATTGTGGTATTTTGAGGCTCCACGGAGCAGCTGCTGAGCTGGGAGGTCCAGCAGGGGATGCTTGAATGTGCTTTGCCATCCTTTTCCCCAGGACAGTGCAGCGGTGCCCCATCCATGGAGGTGCCCCAGGCTGTGGATGGGCCCTGGACAACCTGAGCTGGAGGGAACCAGCCCACGGAGGAGGTGGGGACCGTGAGGACCCTTCCAACCCAACCATGCAGTGGAGTCTCTGGTTTTGCTTTGTCTCCAGATGCCCCCAGTGCTTTCACCCACTGATGCTCCCCAGTGCTGCATGTGACACTGCCCAGCCAAGTGCAGCGTGCTGCCAGAAGGGCGTTTTGTCCTCACAGCCCCAACCCCTCTCAGGAGCTGGCTCACAGCCCTCATGATTCACGTGCTCCAATTTCTCACTCCCTGAGACCCGCACCATCCAGCAGGAAGCGGTTCCCAAACCATTTACCATGTTTATGCTTTCTCAGCTCAAGGACGGTCCTCCCTTATCCCCTCACCCTCTCCCTGCCCGGGAGTGAACATGAAATAAAGGTTATCCTTGGGGACAAAAACAGACCACGCAGTTCAACAGCCGTGTTGCTGTTTTGATACCTATCTCATCCCCTCCCCAGCCTCGGCGCACTGCTGGGCACAAAGGGGTGACCAAGGCGCAGAGCTGCTCCACCCCTCATGCTATTTACACCAAACACGTGCCCCGTGTGCAGAAGGTGCATTAAAAGCGGGGCAGCAGCTGCAGCGGGGCAGCAGCACCGGGGCTGTGTGCAGCGTGTGCATGCTGCAGGTGGGGCTCAGCCTGCCCAGTGCCCCCGAAGGGGCGGCCAGAGCCTTTCCTGCACAGCTGGATGGGGACGGTGCGGACGGCGATGGCTCCAGCACTGCACAAGGTGGGTGAGCACCATACTGGGGATGGGACCTGGGCTGCAGATATATCCTGAGCCAGGTGCCTGCAGCTGGGTGGGCTCAGAGTGCGGTGCTACTTATGGCTTCTCTCCTACTGCAAGTACAGGGGCAATTTGGGAATCATGGCAGCACCCAGAGGTACAAATAACTCTGCTGCATCCCCACTGTTTTAGCCTGGTTTTTGTGGCCGTAAGCGTGGCTGTGCTGAGTGTTCTTGTGTGACCCCCTGTGTTTTCAGCCTGGTGCTCTGCCTGAGTCCCAGCCTGGCTGCTCAGAGCAGCATGAGATGCTCTGCAGAGCTGAGCTGGCCGTGCTGGCTGGGCTGAGCCTAAGCAGGAGCCGAACTGAGCCAGCACGGTGCAAGCAGACTCGGACCCGGCCCCCTGCATGTGGCACTGTGGCTGTGCCGTGCTGTCCCTGGGTGACCCCCCTGAGTCCAGAGCAGAGAGGTTTGTCTCTGCACAAATCCACAGGTGGGATCCGAATCTCTCCGCCCTCTCCTGGCTGAGTGAGCACATCTAACATGATATACTGGAGAATTAAGGTGTGTGCTAATTGGCTGTATCCTTCTGGCTATTAGCTGCCTGGCATAACTCCGATGGAAACAAGCGGGATGTGGGGCTGAGCCCGACGGTAACACCAAGGAAAATACCTCTGCTTTCTCCCTAGGAGGAGCTCAAACCCTGCTCATGGCGCTGTTCTGAGCGCAGCCATTTCTACTGCCAGTGCTTTTGCATACAACGGTGCCGGGCCGCCTGGCTGGGCTCACGGGGACGTGGGGAACAGGGACCTGCTGGGGGCTGAGCCCCCAAGGGATGGGGGCTGTTCTGCCCTTTCCCTTAGCAGGGAGAGGTGTTGCTATAGGAGGAGGTGCTCCGGGACCTCACTGGGCTGTGCCAGGGCGGCACTTTTAGTGGGGTGCCGTGTGGGATTAAAGCTCTTTGTCCCACAGTGGTGCTCAGCTCCTCTCCCGTCACCGTCGTGGTCACACCGGAGGATGACACGTGGCACATCAGCGGCTCCTGTGCGGGCGGTGGGCCATTCGTGGACTGGGACCAGATGCCAGAGGTGGAGCAGCAGGCAGATCCCCCAGAGGACACACTCAGCCGGCCTCCCAAGGAGCTGAAGAAGCTGGCGAGGGAGGGCTGCTGGGCTGCCAGCCGTGCGCTGAGGGCTGCAGCTTACCGGCACCTGTGCCAGCGCGTCGCCTGCCGCCTCGTCACACCCGATGCCCTGGTGTATAGGGACGTGGCTGCACGGCTCTTCGGAAAGCACGGCGCCAGCTCCCACCCGCTGCCCGACTTCCTGGCAGGCTGCTCCCTGCCCACGTACTGCCTCAACATGGATGGGGTCACGGCGCTGAAGAAGATCCTCATCTGCGTTGGCAACCTGTTTCCTGACATCACCTACAGCCCGGCGCTGCCCTCGTTGGTTGCTTTGCTGCTGCACTACAGTGAGGATGAGGCTCAGTGCTTCGAGAACATCTCCCGCCTCATTGCCAGCAATGCCCCCCACACCAGCTACATCGACCAGTCCTTCCTGGCTCATCAGGCCTCCTGCATGACGTTCGGGGACCTGGCCAACAAGCACTGCCCGGCAGCACACAAGCTGATAGCCAGCACGTCTGAGAACGTCTTTGAGGTGTACTCTGAGTGGCTGTCGTGGCTCTTCCGCGACCTCCCCTTCAGCTACGCCATCCGCGTCTTTGATGTCTTCCTGCTGGAAGGGCAGAAGGTGCTGTACCGCATCGCCCTGGCCCTGCTGAAGCAGTACCGGCTGTCGGTGAGCTCTGCCGAGCAGGAGGGGACCGACACCAAGGCAGAACTGCAGGTCTTTGTGCAGAACATTGCCCAGCACGTCACTGTTGACAAACTCCTGGAGAGAGCGTTTGGCATCCGGCTGTTCTCCCGCAAGGAAATCTGGCTGCTGCAAATGGCCAACAGGAAGGCACTGATGGAGAGGGGCATCACCATGGTGCAGGGCAGGTAGGAAGCCGGCCTGTTTGCCCACAGTGCCAATGATGCTCTTGGGGTAAAGTGGGTCAAAAATGGGTTCTATTGGACATGGAGCACAGGGGAGCTCCAGCGTGTCTGTTGGCTGTGGTTATGCTGTACAGACACTGCTGGGATCGTGCACCCCCTGTGGCACATAACGGCACATTATGGGTTCACCAGCTGAGCACTGACACACTCCTCTCTTTCACAGGCAGTCCTTCCACCTGGCTGTGGACATGCAGAGCTTCAGCTCCAGCATTGTATCAGCTCAGGAGATGCGCATCATCTGGTCCTGGAT